ATTAAGATAAAGTTATATTATCTTCTAATGTAAATTGATGTCAGAAGTATATACATGTATGTGTGCCCTAGCTGGGGGATGGGGTTTGGCATAGGGTTTTACGACTTATGATTTGTGCTGCTGAAGTGCTCTCAGGTATATTGTATACCTGTATATAACTGAATGTAAATTTCTTGCTCAAAATATGCACAAGTTGGCACTCTTTTTTAATTTTTTTTTTCATTCAGTCGAATTTCTTCCTATTTACACATATCTGCTTGGTCTCTATATTAGCTAAGTGAAAATTGTGTTGACAAATGCATCCCTATCCAGGTAAATAGGGTAAGATGGAAGTTTGGACTTATTTTTCCAATGCCAGCAGCACCCATATACGCAAGCTGAAATCAGTGATGTGACATATAACCCCATCCCCTAGATCCCAATTCCTTTACAGTGTTAGGAATACATGTATACTCATATCATACTGTTATATATACACCTCTTGACATCATGTTTGTTGAACTTTTATACAATTTCACATATTTACATAAATATATTTATAATAGACATATTATTAAAATATATATTTGAAAACTGTGCATTTCTTTTTATTTGGAATATATATAAGCTGCAAGACAATGAGTGAGAGTGAGAGAGAGAGAGTTGCAAAGATGAGAAAGAAAGAGTGAAAACAGTCACTCTTCTTGAAACATTAAGGATTGGTAAATATAAATTGTTCAAAATAGAAGGTGACTTGGAACAGGCTAATTAGTCAAATTTTAATTGATTTTGAATATCTGTAGGGTTATTTTATGTACCTGTTTAGAATTTATCAGATTTGTTTGATTTTCAAATAAGTGATTAAGAAATAGCTTAACTGGGTTTGGGGGAGTAACTTAATTTATGAATAGTTTTTGTCTTTCTGTATTCCCTTGTAAAATTGAAAATTTATTTAAACTCCAATAATTAGTAATTGTTTGAAAAAATAATGATTAATGTCCCTTACTAATTTCATTTAAAAAATCTGTATTTATAATTTTAACAATAAATTGGTTGGTACGCAGTCCATATGGTTTTCCGCGACATTTCCAACACTTTAGCAGAAATCTTTTCATTGCAGATTTAAAGGGGGATAACTCTAACTCCTGGCTGTTTAAGGACAGATGATACAAACAAATTTTATCGTTGGAAGAGACTTAATATCATGTCATAAGTGTAGAAAAGTGGATAATTCTTAGAATTTTTTCTCCTAAGAATTGCAAAATAAAATAGACTTGGTAAATATTAGTAATATTTCAATAAAATTATAAAAATTGATAAAACACACTCGGTAAAGGTTTACAGATGAAAATAAATTTCAGAATATGTTAGCTTGGTGCTAAAAGTGTAATATAAACTTTAGAAAAATGTACCAAGCCAGGTGAATTTTATGAGGAAAAGCAAAATGGAAAAAATCAGTCCATATGATATAGGGCGATTTATACCATTTTGCTTTTCCTAATTAAATTCACCTGGCTTGGTATATTTTCACTTAATTTTCAGGGGCGTAGCTGCCTATACGCCAGCACGCCATGGCGTGCACATCTTTTACTCCAAAAAAAAATTACTGTGCATTTTTATAAAATTTATTATTAAAAAATGATTACATCGTCATATAAAAAATTAAATTCCTAAAAGATTCCGTGTAAACTTACTATGCCTGCAGGCCTAACGTTATATATGTAATACCTATAGTTAATCCGGATTTACAAACTCTTTTCATAAAAATTCCAATTTAAATGTGCGTAACTGTATTTCCGATAATGAAATGACTGGCATGGTACGTATTATACAAACTAATCAATAATGTCAAAAACACCCGAAACGAAACCCAAATCAAAGCAGTCGAATCAAACTATAGACCGGTCTTTCAGTAAGGTTACGAAACCGGTTTCAACACCAGACAAATCTGAGCAAAATACATGTATCCCGATAATGATTCAGGGGCATCAACCCCTTCGAAGGAATCACCTCCATCATGTTCATCTTCGACGATTTCTGCAAGCCTCCCACCCTACCCAGATATTGCCACGTTAGACGACTCCGAACTGCTTGTGAAGGAAACAAGTTGACTTCATCTCGTAGCATACGTTATATATTTAAAAATACCGTAAATTTTGTTCAATCTTAAGGTGAAAACCCAGGAGCTCTCAGGGGGCGATCGAAGCCTCAAGGCGGCCCCCAGACCCCCTGCCTTTTTTGGCGTGCACATCATTTTCGTCTAGCTACGCCCCTGATTTTTCTTAAGTTTGTGTTACATTTTTAGCACCAAGCTAGCATATACTGAAATTTGTTTTCACCTGGAAACCTTTACTGAGTGTGATTTGTAAATATTTGATTTTTTATTGAAATATTAGTGATATTTTACAAGTCTGTTTAATTTTCCAGTTCTTAGGAGAAAAAATTCTAAGAATTATCCGCTTTTCTAAACTTGTGAAATGATATTAAGTCTCCTTCAAAGATAAAATTTGTTTGTATCATATGTCCTTAACAGGATAATTTTTCTAGTGCTTTTCAAAATTTCGAGATCTTCCAAAGTCTTCCAAATTTTGAAATTACATTTTACATAATTTTCAGAGACGCCGAGTAGAATCCTTTTTAATTAAGGTAGCTTGAAAAAAAAAGAGCACAATTTATTGCAATATTAATGCGTCATAACTCTTCAAGTCATACCAAATTTTACTGAGAGTTGCCCCGGGTACATCAATCAGCTATCGACTTGGGTTTTGAGTTTGTAATACAGGCGAGTAATATTGGGGGAAAGCCCCCCTCCCCCGAATAAAGTATGATTGAAAATTGTGCTTTAAAGGCGTGTTGTCCTATAACGAAGCTGCGCTGCATGCAGTATGATCAACTTTTACCAATTTGAATTTACACTTAAAAAAATCCCTTGTCTAGAAGTTCGTGCTTTTGAATTATTGAAATTGTCATCAAAAGATGTTTGGCCCCTCCCCCTCCCATTTTGAGTTGCGGAGTGGTCAAATCGCGGACATGTTAATCGATAATAAATACTACAGGTATATAATTTTTTATATATAAAAAAAATTCTGAACACCCCACCCCGACCCCTCCCACAAAAGAGAAAAAAGTTTGTCGTGTTTAGTATGTTTTTTTTTATTGGTTAAAGTTTCATACTTTTTTCAGGTGTCTAATCCCTAAATAATTTCCTCTTCTTCCCCTCTTCTGACCCTCCCCCTCCTTGAAAACTGTGTTACGCGCCTGCGATTGTTTTTGTTCATGTATAGAACATTTTTTTGCGTGGAGGGGGCAGGCACACTTTTTTCTGTGCACCGAATACTTCATTTTCAACCTCAAGTATGAAAGTATTGAAAACACGTAAATACAAATTTTAACACCGTGGTTCCATCAAGTGTGGTCTTTTAAACCCTTTTCCAGACATTTAGGTATTCAGGAAGTGAATCATCGGAAAAATAAAATGATTCTTATCATCGCGATGAACTCTGGAGCTTCTTTTTCTAAAGAGGAAAGTCAATAAAATTATTTGTGACTTTTAATTAAACGCCGTCAAAACATTAAATGGACATTAAAATTTGTTTACGCCTCCCCGACCTTCTCCATCACTACATCAACAAAAAAGAGGTGTAATGTCCGCTATCTAAGACCTTGGTTAGTGTCTCTTTTGGAATGAGATATAGATTTTTAATCTGTTTGATGTCTGAAGATATGCCTTTCGTTTGGATTATGGCCAGCTTCCTAATGCGCATGCATAAATCACGCACCGTGATTATATCTTTTATGTATGTAAATTTTAATTGGATTTTGGGTATAAAATAAACGTACCAGGTAATTTGCATGGAACAAATTACAAAAGATTTAAGTTGCATAGGAAGAACTACATGGCCACGCAGTTCTTATCTCATCCACTGCCAATTCAAAAACCCTTTTCTTGACGGAAAAAATGGATTATTTTTAAATGAAGTTCAAAAAAGTCAATTAATTAATTAAAAAAAAAAAACGCTCTCCATGTAGTTTGATGCTAACTATAATGAGTATTGAAATGTAAGTTTTTATCACAGCGCCTGTAGTTTTAATTTATTGTATCCATAACAAATGCATAATACGTATTGAAATGTAAGTTTTCATTCATTCATACAAAATAAATGTATAAGAATTGCCGGAAAATAATTTATTTTAAAATGAATAAACTTTTCATGTATTTTAAAAACATGCTAATTGTGTCGTTTTAATTTTTCTTATTTTAAATTAATGAGTGTATTTAGACAGACAGACCAAAAAAAAAAAAAAAAAGATCCGAAGCGTCTGACGCATCACAACAAACTATGGCTATATGCTCTAAATTAGTGACGTAGCATCGTTTTTGAAAGTGAAAGAGGGGCAAATTGACTATTCTGCAACAAAATGTGTGGAGGGGGTGTCTTTCAATAAACATTTTCCATTTATAAAAAAAAAGTTGTGTTAAGGACAACTGATACAAACAAGAATATGAATGTCTGGATTGGTAAATAATTTTTTATCCTAATTTGGTTGTAAATTATGTAACTAATAAATTTCTAAATTTAAAAAAAAAAAGAATTTGTTTTTCTAACGTTACGTGTTCAAAATTCAACCTTTTAGAAACAATCCCCGTTAATATATACAATTTTTTGTTACTTAAAATACCATTATTGTGAATTGTTGAATAAAATATTTTTTAAAAAAATCAGTGCTGTCAAACTTTTTTATTTTACCCAAACCAGTATAACTTAGTTTGTTATTTTCGGGACTGATTTTTTTTAAAAGTTTGTATCATTTGGAAAAAAAAATGGGGGGGGGGGTGAGTGCCTCCTCTGATGCTGCATGCCTGAAATTTAAACCTTTTACCGTTCTTCTATGCCTTGTTCTTCTAATTTTATTATTGTTTCTTATATAAACCAAATATTGCCCGCGTTCTTCCTTGAATTATTATTTATATGTAAGTCTACATCTGTTGCGATCTTGTTCGAATAAATGCTGTACAACTTACCTTAATTTTACACTCCGGAAGTCACGTTTACGTCAGTGAACAAAATTCAAAATGTTTTCATCGCAAGGATATGATGCTCACGGTAATTTAATGTCTATTTTTGAATCATATTTTACTGTTTAATGAACAATTCTCTGAAGAAGCGCTTTCTAATTTTTGTTGAACGTAGCTTTGGTGCCCAGACTTCAAATTAAAGTGAAAGTAGACTTTCCCTTGGGCAGGCTGAGGGCACTGGTCTTCTTTCTAAGTTTTTTACAATCAACAAATTGATATCACTTGCCCAAATGGAATATATTTTTGACAGTTAGAAATATTTCAATTCTCATAATATCTGTGTAGACAAGAAGTATTTTCCCCAGTTTTCCTTAGTATATAAACAGGTTGGGCACAGCCTACCAAATAGTACTTTATCCCCCGTTTGGTAGATAATCTACCATATCGGTAACGAATTTTACTAACCAAATGGGGGACAAAATTGGTTGTGTTTAATTCCATAGAGTGGAGTGGAATTTCGCATAATTTTAAACCATGTGGAATAAAATATAGATATTTATCGGTGTTCTGGGTGAAAAAAATGAAAAATTCTATGTGCAATATTTTGCGCAGAGTCGTTCAAAAATTTGGCAAAAAACGTAGCTTATGTAAACAAATGCAATTTTTCTCCGTTTTTTACTTTAAAAGAAAATTCTCTCCTTCTCAACGATTGCACCTTTCATGTCCTTTACTTTCTATTTCGAATATCCGGGCAACCAATCAATTAGTGCAAACCAATCAAAACGATGATCTTTTTTAAATCTAATGAAAAGTCGGATTTAACTACGGAGGCACATTTGTGTTAATTTTCAACTAGGAAATCAGAAGAAAAATAAGTTTTGCCTTTATTTCTTTTTATTTTGAACACAATGGCTTTGTTCTTCATAGAAATAGTAAATGCAGTTGGAGTATGACATAATTATTGTTTTAAAACGATGTACTTGGAACAAAAACAAGAATAATGGCAAAAGTCATTTTGTACATCTTTTATTGAACATTATTTTTCGAATTTATTAAATTCACCAGTAATATGCATATTAAACCCCAAAAGATCGCATTGAATCTGCAACTTCATCCTAAAAGAAAAATAACAACAAATATTACGTGCAACTCTGGAAAAAAATAACTTTATAGCAGGAAGTGCCCACCATACCGGTAAGGCATGAGGAGCTCGTGTTTAACAGGATTTTATGGAGATAAACATTGATGAAGATCCAAAAAGAGATTGAAAGTTAACTCATCAAGAGTTAAATCACTGTATAAAATTGGATTTTTATCCAACAAGACACAATAAAGATTTTTTTTTTTTTCGTTTGATGAAGTTCGGCTTTACAGACAACTACGGGTATTGTTTTTCAAGTTCGGAGAAATTACACATAGAAATTCGACCGATTTATGTTAATTGTACGAGGAATATGTTCACTAAAATCCCCCATTGCCTGAATAAATGCGCTTTTGTTTTATTTTTAAAAAAAAGCAACAGAATAAAAAAGTCCCCCATTTGGTTAGTAAAATTGTTACCTATACCAAACGGTAACCGTTTGGTAGGCTGTGCCCAACCTGATAAACACTTCCAGTACAATCTCCTGATTTAGCTATATAGCTTTAAATAGCTATATAGCTTTATTAAGCTATTCAGTATAGCTTAATTTAGCTATTTTACTACACTTTTTTCTTAAAGGTGTAATTTTCTCAGTATGTACAAAAAAGTGCACCTTGGTGCAGTGATGATATACAACCACAGGGGCTTGCTCCTGCGTGTAAAAAATATTTATAAAAAAAAAACATAAATGATATACTCTGTAGTTTATTGTATATTGTTTATGTTTTTATTTTAATATGTTTTACGGTGTGACCGTTGGGGCGAGCGCAGTTTATTTACTAGCAAAAACCTACACGTATAATGTCTATCATTCAAGAAAAGGAATAAAACAAAACAATAAAAAGAAATCCTTTCCCAAGCATCGGGATCGAGATTCCAAACTTCTCGGAAATGTCCGACAAAATCGGAAATACCCGAACCGTTGAAGTGACGAAAGTATGACGTCATATAAAAAGTTCTGTTGACTTTGGACGCAAACGCTAGTTTTATGGAAAAAAGATTGCTTTAAATCGTTCTTTTCAAGTTAGTTGTTGCCATGTTTTAGCCACCACGTTGCTATGCAACATGTTTTCCGAGTTTCACGGAAGCAACCGACATAACTTCGTCAAAAGTCGTAAGTTTCCGGTGACGTCATTTGTATCATTTCCGAATGGCAAGGTGAAGGCCAGTGTTGTGACATGGGGGTATTTTTTTGAATAAGGTAAGGCAAAATCATTTCGTTAAGATTTCGGTAAGAAAAAACGTTCCTTCAATTTTTTTACTTTTTTTGATTTATTCGCGCAAAGGACATTGGGTAGTGCAGGAATTCTGGGAAGGTTGCACAGAGAAAATTGGCTGACGTATGTACAGATTTCAATCCGAATTTCCTCTGTTCATACACGTTAGTCTATTGAGCTCGCTGCGCTCGCTATAAATATTTTTTACAAGCCAGGAGCAAGCCCCTGTGATACAACTTTGAACTCTTCTTAAAATAAATGCATGTAAAAATCACTCATCAAATTACATCTCCTTGAGAGACTTTTGTACTCAAAGTTTTCAAGTTTTGGGACTATATAAAGCAATTGATACAGTTACTTCTGCAATGATATTATAATGGAGACCAATTATGTTCAACAAGATACTGTAAACCAACTTTTATTCGCTAAGACTTTATTTAGCGATTTATTGGGGGTAAACTAGTTCGCGACGATTAATTTTCGCGATCAAGCCTATTTAGGTTCTCTTGTTAATAGACACATAGACTTTAAGAACCTGTTCGCGGCGAGAAATATTCGCGATGACGAGGCTCTCGCGAACTTCGCGAAAAATTCTCGCACGCGAACAAAAGTTGGTTTACAGTAATCGACTGGTTACAGTTCAGCACAATGAGAAGCAATTTACTTTTCCTTGCCTCAAGGCACCCAAGGTAGTGGACAGTTAGTCTAACAATAGAAATTCTCTTTTTGCTTAAAAGTATTCAAAAGCTGCAAAGTCAGAACTATCTTTGATTTTGGTTGTTGTTTTAATAGTCCATAGTACATGTATGAAAAATACATGCGACTTTTTGTTTATTTTCAGCAAAAAGCATTTTTGTGAAAAACTGTATATAAATAGCTAAATAAAGCTATTTTGAATAGCTTAATAAAGCTATATAGCTATTTAAAGCTATATAGCTAAATCAAGAGATTGTACTGGACCTGATAAAAGTACATTGCCAACTGTGAACACTCCAAACAAATTTTGTGTGTACAGTTTAAAACAGGGTCTGAAGGACAGTCACAATTTAATGAGAGGACACCATATCTTTTATATCTCATTGGATTAGGGATCCTAACCTGTCTATTGCAGTTGTTGTTGAATGCATATGTTAGTAATGATAAACAACTATCAGTATTACTTTTGAGAACATATTTATTCAGGTCACTTACAATTTACACTGTCATGTTTTATGACTTTTTCATTCTCTCTTTGCAGGTAGCTTTGGGATGGAACCAATGACAATGGGGTCCCCCACAAGTCCTACCTCTCCCCACCAATCACAATTTTTACCAAGCTTTTTGATGGGAGAATCCATACATCACAGTGTAAGTGCTTAAAATCAGTCACCAAAAATTGAATTTTTAAAAATTCTCAATCTCATCACTGTCCACCTATATGCAGGTGTCCTGCATTGACTTTTTTGAAAGAAAGGCTTTCTTATTTCAATAAACCCACTGTCGCACATGTCAGGTACTTATAATAATCTTACGGTTGCGACCAGAGACAGTCATCATGACTCATGAGAACCAGTTCTTTTGACGACCATCTCTGGTCGAAACCACATCCGGTAAACCAAATAAATTTACTCTGCATTTTCACAAAGTGTTGGTGATCGGTTTTATTTCTTTTAAATTCCTTACGTAAGTGATATCTGAATTGAACCCTTATAAAGGAATATCCTGTCTTTTTGGATATTTTAGCCAGGTCCACAACACTGGTCCACTTCAAGTCCCCAATCCTCAACTCAGAGAGGGTCTTCAGTTACTTCTCCTACAAGTCTACACACTGGATCAAGGCCCAGGTAGATTTATTACCATAAAATTAAAAATTTTAACTGTTATATCTAATTTTGCTATTTTTAACCATGGTATTACATCTTCCTGGAAGTAGAAGTTGCTAAAAGAATTTTTTTTTCTGTAGGGCAGAAGTGTTGAGACCAAAAGAGAGAGTTGGAGCTCCTCCAATCAAAGGACTCATGACAAGTCCAACAAGTGCTTTGTCTGGTTCATTTCATGCACCCCACACACCTCATCATGTAAGAAATACAGTGTTTAATGAATGAAATACACTTTTATGAAAGTGCCAAGGATGAATGATTTGTATTCATTATAAACATAATTTGTAAATTTTTGTTAAAGTTCACAATACGAGGGTTGTCCCGTAAAATCGTGGACATAGCGTTTTTCTCGAAAAGTAATGGGCGCACAAAGCTGAAAATTTCAGTAAATGTTTATTTATCATATTTAAGTGCATGATAATTTTTTTGATAAAATATAGGCAAAAATAAAGATTTTATTATGCTTGAATGTGCACGGGGTATTGTCCTACGGCGCACCGTCAAAAAACCAAGGTTTTATTTAAGAATACACAAGTTTGAATTCAAAATTAAAGTTTTAAATACATAAGATTTGGATTAAAATTATCCTAATTCAATTCCACAATCAATTTTGTAGTCTTTGTAAAAATTTTAAGGCATTTGGTTAATTTTTGGCAGTTTTAGCAGAAATGGGAAAGTGGTAAACACAACACACGAAAAATAGCGGCGTTTTATGACGTTACGGCGCACCGGAGAACAGTTCAGTTTTATTTCGATGTTGTAATGACACCTTTAGAGACTTGAAATGACCATAGAAGAAAAAAGATTATAATTATATCACTATATCTTAAGTATACAAATGAAATAGGAGTTTTCTTAGCGAAGTTTTTTTGCTCGAGTCCCTGGGGAGTACAAAATATTCGGACAAACTCCTAATGTAATAGCAAAAGACGCTGTCACAGTAGACAGCCGATATGATATTTTCTATTAGTTGAATGATGGTGAGAATATTGTCCGTAACTTACTAATAAATCTTCAGAAGATCGCATGAGGGTGCCAACTGGTTCTTCGGCTGTTTATGGAGACTAAAGAATGTGTATCAATGAAATTCCTAAAGTTAAGTCGGACTCATCCAACTTCATTTTCAGCAAAGAGAAAACAAGACACTTTGACGTTATAATCCATGCGCCGTAAGGTGATACAATACAAGGCATAAAATCTCATAATTTGTTTATTTATGCATATATTTATCTGAAATTTGCTGTGTATATTACTAAGATATGTACTAAATGATAGTGAAAATTTCAGAATGCAGTGATGTTTATTTTTCACGCTAGACAACTTGTCCACGATTTTACGGGACAACCCTCGTATATTTAAAGCTGTAAGTGTCAATTTTTTTAAGCATGTTCACTCTAATCCTGTTTTATAGTGGCAGACAAAAGTTTCTTTTTATATCATTTTAGGATCACAGTTTACACATGAAATCAGCTCACACTCCTGGAACAGGTGCCCCACCCACAGCAAGTTAGTATATCAGTACAAAATCAGTCACTCTAACAGTACAAATTCAGTCACTCTATCAGTACAAAATCAGTATCTCAGCACAAAGTCAGTCAATATATCAACACAAAATCAGTCAGTATATCACTTTATCAGCATATACTCAGTCAGTATATCAGCACAGAATCAGTATATCAGTACAAACTCTAAATATTTTTCCATAAAATCGAATAGGCTATTGTATTTTGTAATTTACATGTACATTCTTTTGTAGGTATTTTACACAGTGAAACACCTCATGGGGGAAGTCAGAGTTTTATGCTTGACAATTCAATGGGGCTCTCTCCTGCCCAAATAGATCCATTCTACACACAAGGGTAAACATTAATTTTGTCTGTTTGTATTGGAAATTACCCCAGACATGATGAATGTCACATTCCTACATTGAAGATATAGTTTATATTCCTTTGAGAGTAATTAAAAATGTAGATACATACATGAATATATGACCCAGTAATGCTTTTATTTCTAGAGAAATGTTGACAGCTGATGATGCACTAGATGAAACATGGGTAACAGTGTTTGGGTGAGATATCTGTGTAATTTTTTGACATCAACAAAAACTGAGAATTTAAGATTTTTTGAAAGGAATTACTCTAAATCACTTTTTATTCGAGAACTTTATTTTTGTGAAAAAAGGCATAATAGTACTTAAGATTATATAGAGCAATAACCACAATGTGAAAAGATGGAAAATTTAGTGATCTACATACATGTACATGTAAGAGGATCATTCCAATTTTGACTTCCTTTCCAGATTTCAAGCAGCAGCAGCCTCTTATTTCTTACAACAGTTTTCACAGTACGGGAATATTTTAAAATATGAGGTAAAATGAGCTACATCAATCTTTGACTTGTTGGAAGAATAAAGTGGTTGAAATATATTTGATCTTGTTCAGTTAATAAGGATATTCACTGAAGATTTTCTTCACTTTTTATGGAAAACCACATCTTTCATCAAACAGAATATGTCAGTTAGAACCAGTTTTTTAATCCACCTGTATTGAGTTTACATGCAGTGTGCTTTTCAGTCAATGAAGCATACAATGACATACACATACATATCAATAATGTAATATTTAATGTACTTTAACCTATTTTATATGATTATTTAGACACAGATATACATGATTAAAGTTTTTGTCAGTCAATATTGAATTAGTGGTTCCAGCTATTGCAAGAAAAATTACATAACTTACCTAAATGTGTTATGTATTTCAATTTGCAACATTGCAACTTTTAATTCCCATACTAATAAACAAGCAATTTATTGTTTAATTGAAAATCTTGTTATTTCAGATTGCAACAGAAGGAAATTGGATGCATCTCCATTACCAGTCTAAGTTACAAGCAAAGAAAGCTCTAAGTAAAGATGGAAAAATCTTTAATAACTGTGTTATGATTGGCGTCAAACACTGCATAGATAAGGTGAAATATCAACTGAAATTTTCCATTATTTTTTTGTTATTAAAGATATTAGCAGAATAGACTCTTGAATCAATTAACTTTTATTGCTTTTAATCGTGTAAAAAAGAAAATTCCAGCCAGAAATAATTCCTTATGAAATGTCATCTGTGATTGGGGACTAGTAGAGTATAAAGCTTTTGCTGTTAAACATGGTACATTGCAAGTAGCATTATAACAAAATCATTTAAACAATTCTGAATGGTTATAGGCTGTGATGGAGAGAGATAGAAAAGCCAGTGTCCCAGAGGAACATACAGCGGACCTTAACACATCAACGGCTACCAGAAACACCCCCATCCGGCCCCTCACAGCGGCCTACAAAGCAGCCAGGAGTGACCATGAGGTGAGGGGGAAGAATTACCTTTCTTTGATTGTACATGTATATATTTACTGTATGTATGTATACAGTATAGGTACATAATAGGAGAATAACAGAAGAGTTGCATTTCTTTAAACATGGTAGGCAAAAGAGACATAAACGTTATAGGCAAAGGAGTCTCAGAGATAGGTTCAGAATAATGGAGGTGAAACAGAAACATTTTTTCATTAAATCAATAAATGCAGTATGTCTCCATCTACATTAGTATAGATATACTAGAATTTTGATTTGTGACACAAGTAAATAAATTGATTTAATTATTTAATTCCTTTTTGATTTAGTAAATCCAATATTTGCAATCTTGTATGAAACAATGTGGGACTGGGTTGCCTGGAAGTGTTATAGTCAATCTTTAGTCAATAAAATTGTCCTTTTTTCATAGAGCTTCCAAAAGAATAATTCATACATTTATTTTCTAGGTTGTGAAAAACAATCAGACCCCCCAGAAAAATTCCTCCTTCATTGGAAAGACCATGGAGTATATGTTTGGCTGGTGACAAACTCAGGAAATTGTTTTATATTGTGCAATGAATTGTTTTCTAAATAAATACATATATTTTAATATTTTTATTTTGTGTTGAATTTGTAAAGGGAAGGTTAGGTACATCATTGTGTATTTTAGTCCGAAATAACTGATGTTTTCTAGGCTTTTTCAGGATTTTGATATTTTACGTGCCAGGAAAACGTCAAAACCGGCGCCATTACGAAAACTGGGAATTCACAGCCTCCACCTGGAGGCGGCACATTCGGGTTGATTCTCGATACTTGCAAACCAAATTAAATGCTGCCTTAAGTACTTGCCAACATTGTTTTTATTGTTAGTTTATAAAATATACAGTCCGGTGAAAATATTTTATTATGCTATTGAGTTTTGTTGTCGTTTCAATCATTTTAAAATCTTGCCACATCTGTATCGATATGTGGAGTGATATTTTTTGATCGATATTGTTGAGTACTAGAGGCATTGTGCTATCGATAAATTATAAGTTCGGCATTTAAGTCGGTTCGCAAGTATCAAAAATAGGTTCAGGTTGTTGACGGCGAAATTACCAGTTTTTGTAATGGCAACTGTTCTGATGTTTTCCTGGCACGTAAACTACGGTATCGAAATTGTGAAAAAGCCTGGAAAACATCAGATATTTTGGGCTGTGTATTTGTAGCATTTTAGTTTCGCAAAATACTATTTGATAATTATAAGACAGAGATATTTTTAAAAATCAAATGGTTATGCAAATACTTTAATGTACTTCCGTGAATAAAAAGCTTACTTCCAGTAAAGGGAGAAGGCATTAAAACGCAATTTAAATAACAAGAGGCCCGTAGGTTGCCTGAGCATCATGCAAAAACTTTCCAATGATTGAATTTGGTTCATGTTTTAGACTAGATGCAATTGCATTCACAGTTTTGAAAGAGGGCACCATTGCTCATCATAACTATGCACGTAGCAATTACTGTAAATCACTTTTTATTCGCGAGAACAAATTTTTTATTGTAAAAATCGCGTAATTATCAAGGAGACAGATTTTGTGCTCGCGAAAATTTAATTCTCGCGTATAATAGTATTCCTTAAGATTATATAAAGCAATGACCACAATTCGTGAAAATTTTGTCTTTCTGATCAAGAGTCAATGACTATCTCGCGAAAATAAGGTGTCGCGAAAATTTTGTGATCTACAGTACTTAGTTTGGTTACATAATACCCATAGGCAGGAAAAAGCCTGTAAAAAGTAAAAAATGCATTTCAACTCATCAGTAATATTCAGCATTAACGAGGCTGGGGTGTGGCAGCCATTTTCGGACTATTTTGATCTCATTAAAAGAAGAGCTCCATATAAAGATATACAAAAATGATCAAATTCTAAAGCTAAAATGTATTAATTTTTTCTTTGCCAAATGATAGTTGACAGCTTAAGATACCGTATCTAAAAAAATAAGTTAAATCAGGTGGTTAATTTTTGGTTAATTTGTTGACCCCCAGCCTCCTTAATCAGTAGTGTCCCTACCACACATGAACCCGGGCTGACCCTAGGTCCACATATTTTACAATTTTGGAAAAGGCACCCTTGCTTATCAAAAATGTTTGATTAATATCAAGGATAAGATTTCAAACAAATAATTCATTTTCAGTATACAAGTACACCCCCCTCCTCTTTGGTACCCCTGACCTAGGGGCCGTGAAATTCACAATTCTGGAAGAAGGGCCCTTGCTCATCATAGCTATATAGGTAGTTCATCTGCTTAATACCCAGGAGCAGAGAAGAAGATTTTCAAACATTTAATGTATTTCACTATATAATCAATAGAGCCCCGCTCTAACACCAGAACCCCTGACCCTGGGGCCATGAAATTCACAATTCTGGAAGAGGTATTCTTGATCATTATAACTATGTACTGAGTTTGTTTAATACCCAGGAGCAGAGATTTTCAAAGAATATTCTGCATTTTCACTATTAAATCAATAGAGCCCCGTCCTAACACCAGAACCCCTGACCCTGGAGTCGTGAATAAAAAATTCACAATTCTGGAAGAGGCATTCTTGCACATTATAACTATGTACTTAGTTAGTTTGTTTAATACCCAGGAGCAGAAAAGATTTTCAAAGAATTTCTGCATTTTCACTATAAAAAATCAATAGAGCCTAACCCTTACACCAGATCCCCCGACCCTGGGGCCATAAAATTCACAATTTTGGAAAAGACATTTTGCCCATCATAACTGTGTACTCAGTTTATTTAATACCCGGGAGCAGAGAAGATTTTCAAAGAATTAATGCATTTCACTAGATAATCAACAGAGCCCCGCCCTAAGACCAGACTCTCGACCCTGGGTGCATAAAATTCACAATTTTGAAAGAGGCACTCTTGTCATCATAACTATGTACTTAGTTAGTGTATTTAATACCCGGGAGCAGAGAAGATTTTCGAAGAATTAATGCATTTCACTATATAATCAATAGAGCCCCATCCGAAGACAAGAACCCTCGGCCTGGGTCCATAAAATTCACAATTTTGGAAGAGGCACTCTTGCTCATCATAACTATGTACTTAGTTTATTTTATACCCAGGAGCAGAGAAGAAGATTTTCAAAGACATAATGCATTTTCATTTTATAATCAATAAAGCCCCGACCTAACACCAAAACCCCTGACCCTGAGGCCATGAATTTCACAATTTTGGTAGAGGACTCAATGCTCATTACATTCATGCCAACAGTTTGACTGCTTGATGTCCAGGAGTAAAGAAGAAAGTTTTAAAGATTGCATTATTTTTAATGGTTTTGGCCCCACCCCTCAGGCCCCTGGAGGGCAGGGACTGTGAAATTCACAAATTTTGTTCCCCTTCAGCCATAGATGCCATATGCTAAAATTGGTTCAGCGGTTTCAGAGAAGAAGCTGAAAATGTTCAAATGTTAACACACGTCGCAATACACACGACGCACGACGACAGACGAAAACGGATAGAAATACGTTGTAGGTCACCTGAGTGATAATGAAGAGAGATATCTCTTTGCAGTTAAAAGATGTCTCTTTTTGCTTGAGATATATCTCTTTTGGACACTTTTAAAAGATATTTCTTTTACTTTGGGAGATATCTCTTAAGATTAACTAAGAGAGATATCTCTTTTACTTTGAGAGACATCTCTTTAACTTGGAAAGATATCTCCCTAAGTAAAAGATATATAACGCTAGGTGCAAGAGAGATCTCTTGTAAGTTCAAAGGTATCTCTTTTCACGAAAGGAAAAAGATATCTCACTAAGTGAACGAGATATAACTCTAAGTATAAGAGATATCTTTAAGTTTAAGAGATATCTCTTTCTCATAGAGATATTTCTTAAAATTGAGAGATATCTCTTTTAGTTAGGAGATATCTCTATTTTTTAAGAGATATCTTTCTTAAATGAGAGATACGAGGTGTGATCAAAAAGTTCGCAAACTATCTCTATATCTACAAATTAGAATGAAATTCCGTACACACATAGCCATACACAAGGTCTATAAATAGCATAATTATGCTGAATAAAGTTTCTCTCCTTGTTTGTGACGTCACAATGTGAAAATGACGTCACTATTTAGGTCACTTGTGACGAAAAATGGCTGTCTCAGTCGAACTCGTTCAACAAACGACTGTACAATTTATTGCATATCTTAGTAACCCCTTTGCCGTAGCATATTTAAGCATTGAATTCATATTTTTGGCTGTCTTCGGTCCTATAACACACCTGGCCGTGCCGACAAATTGAATACCGCGCGTTAGCGCGGTATGAGAAATTTGTCGGCACGACCATGTGTGTTATAGGACCAAAGACAGCCAAAAATATGAATTCAATGCTTATATTTACATTCTCTAATTTTCCTGCTTCATAATTACTGATTTCGTTAATCTTTAATGTAAATTTAGCGCCCCCTTCAAAACTGACGTGGTTAATAGACGTAAGAGCCGTTTGTGACGTCAGATGACGTTGCAAAGTTAAACATTGCGAGGAAAAAAGTGACAAATTAATTTCAAACTCACATTTGTAGTAATTTTACGTTAATTTAACAGGATGATAGTTTTTGATTAAATTGAGTCAACACATTATATTTACATTCCGTGTATTTTTCCTTATGAAATTCATTAGCAATCCACGACATTCAAATTTCTATAACACACGCAAAACTTTGTCACCACGCGTTAGAATACACAGTAGGAACTATGTGCATTTTCTATAATCTAGAAACACCAAAATGTACAATGTGTTGACTCAAGTTAATCAAAAACTATCATCCTGTTAAATTAACGTAAAATTACTACAAATATGAGTTTAAAATTAATTTGTCACTTTTTTCCTCGCAATGTTTGTTTGCGTTATTTAACTTTGCAACGTCATCTGACGTCGCAAACGGCTCTTACGTCTATTAACCACGTCAGTTTTGAAGGGCGCTAAATTCACATTAAAAATCAACGAAATCAGTAATTATGAAGCAGGAAAATTAGAGAATGTAAATATAAGCATTGAATTCATATTTTTGGCTGTCTTCGGTCCTATAACACACCTGGTCGTGCCGACAAATTTATCATACCGCGCTAACGCGCGGTATTCAATTTGTCGGCACGGCCAGGTGTGTTATAGGACCGAAGACAGCCAAAAATATGAATTCAAAGCTTAAGTACATTTTGGTGTTCCTAGATTATAGAAAATGCATATAGTTCCTACTGTGTATTCTAACGCGCGGTGACAAGGTTTTGCGTGTGTTATAGAAAATTGAATGTCGTGGATTTCTAATGAATTTCATAAGGAAAAATACGCGGAATGTAAATATAATAATTTGTACACAGTTTATTGAGATAAATGAGTTCCTATAAATTCAATTAATGATTGGATTAATCGTTTTAGTGAAGGAAGGCTGATGTTTAAAAATTATACTTGTCATCTTGCCCAGTGAAAGCAAGTTTGAAAAGATATGTATTTTTAATTAAGCAATTTGCTATCAAAGACCTCCAATTAGCACTTTGAAAAATAGTTGAATATTTGAACAATGATATAAGTATTAAATACCTAAGATATCGTTTACTTTAGATTTT